GGGGGTTGATGATCTTCCACTTTGTTTTGCTCCTTCAGTTAGTTAGTGGGCACGTATTTTTTAGCTCAGTTGTTCATGTTGGTTTGCGATAATTGTTGTCTTGTTCTTCTTGTGTGCGTGTGCGTGTGTGTATGCGTGTGCGTGTGCGTGCGTGTGTCTGTGTGTGTGTGTGTGTGTGTGTGCGCGCGCGCGCGTGTGTGTGTTTGTGTATTTCTGTGTTTGTGTGTGTTTGTGAGTGTTTTCGTGTGTGAGTGTGTATGTGGGTTTTTTTTTTCTTTTATCGGATTGAGCTTCTTGTAGGGTGTTCAACTATAACAAAAATACAGCCCCTTTCGTGATGTTATTATTATGCCATCATGCCTACCAGTAGATACTTCCGGTTTCACGGTCTTTTGCACGTCCAGCGATGTTATAGGTCTTTGGTTTTGGGACACGGCTTTCTTGACTGCTGCAACTGTCATCAAATGCAACGCACACAAAGATCAGTGTACTGTTCCACAAGGTGATTGCAAACAAGTGCCGAATGACCGAAACACAATAATAATCACAATGCCAACTTATGAACTTGCTGTGATATTCAGAGCATTGCAACGGGTAAGTGTTACGTTTGATTAGTATTGTATGGTTCCAGTCACCATTTTGATAGTGTGCTTCCCCGGTGTTTATGCTGGTGATCTAAATCTAGATTCTAGGCCTAACCAGTAGGTTACCCCCAGGGACAGAGTTTCTTTTGACTGAAGTTTTAGCCAAGCCTCCCAAGGCCAAGAGGAGAAATAAACAATGACCCGCCCATTCTATTTAGTTGGATCATAGATCATTGTATAAATATTTTACTGGACTATAAATTCTTCAAAGTTTTAACTTCCTGTATTAGATCTACATTCATAAAGTTTCCTAAAATGATAAGATCATAGGAAAGAAAAATCACAAGAGAGAGTTGTTTCATTCTGCTATATAATGGCATTGCGTTGTTTTATTTTGGTTGTAACTGTCGCAGATCTACATACTTTTGTGATAGCATGGCCTCATATTATTCCTTAAGATTCTGATTACATCTGACTGCTTTGTAATTACAATACTTTTTATTAGATCTAGATCTCTATAGCAGAATGAAGAAAGAAGGTGAGTGTGGAGACTGAATAAAGATCAGGGTTTTGAAGAAAGTATAATGCTGCCTAGATCTAGATCTAGATCTAGCTGTTTTTCCACACCAGTCGTTTACCATTTCTTATGTTTCATCATTTTATGTCAAAGATAAGTGTTGTTGAGCATGCTAGTATGCAATAGTCTAGATCTAGATCTAGTATTGAAAGGCCACCTCTATTCTCACCCCGGGTGAGAATAGTGCAGGCGAGTCTTTTGGCTATTCTCACCCGGTGTGCATTCACCGTTATAGCCTAGATCTAGGCCAATCAATTTTGCGTTCACCCTAAACCACAGAATTCTGCACTGTGATAACAGAAAAATTGTAGAATTCTGTGCCGTGAACAAACATTCCATATCTACTAAAAGCGTACAATTTTGTCTGTGGGCAGTGGAGAGAGAGAAAGAGAGAGAGAGAGGAGTAACGCGAGAACTTCCGGGCAAAACAAAATGGCGACCTGCGTAGTTTGGCTTGATTCGAAAAGTTAAATAGCCGTAGCATCTTTGTAGACGACCAAATTAATTTACTTTTGTGTTTTAACATAATTTTTTAACTTTGTTTTGGTCAATTTGATCGTCCACACCGATAGACAGTATTCAGAAAGAGACAGAGAGAGAGGAGAGGGGAGGAGTAGATCTTGCGAGAACTTCCGGGCAAAACAAAATGGCGACCCCCGTAGTTCGGCTCGATTCGAAAAGTGAAATAGCCATAGCATCTTTGTAGTCGATAAAATTTGCTTACTTTTGTGCTATAACGTAATCTTTTCTTTGCCTTTATCCATTTGATCATCCACATCGATAGAAAGTATTCCGAAAATAGGAAAAACAGGTCTTGTTTTACACCGGGTGAGAAAAGCCTACGGTGACAAGTCTCACCCGGGGTGAGAGGTCGATCGTATTTCTATTCTCACCCCGAGTGAGAATAGCCACTTCCTATTGAAAACTGTCAGGCTTCTCTTCCCTTGTATTAATTTTTTTTAATGTTTTTTTTTTTTTTGTTGGGAGGGGGGGGGGGGGGGTTGATTCCAATACCACTCGCCTGACTCATGCTGATCTGCATGTTATTCGGTTCTTTAAAAAACTGGTAAGGAAATTAGATTACAAACTTCTAATAACTGTTCTGTTGAATTGGATTTATTTGAAAGGAGTGTTTTTGTTTCGATGCTGGAATGATTTTGTCTGTAGTCTTGTTTTCTTTGTTTTCCATCATCCACTGTCCTGTGCTCAGCCGGAGCTGTCTCAAGCAGTCAAGAGATGTTGCACAAACATTTTAGACAAGGGCGGCATCATCCGAGGGATGGAGAACCTGGGCGAGAAGCCACTCCCCTACAGGATGAGGGCGCACGGCTCCAGATTCTATGAGGGGAAGTGAGTATCATCATATGAGTAAATTCTTCAGCTCTACTTCATACAGTATGCACGGATGGCTTGAATTCGTCTGGACCGGCCTCGGTAGTTCGAGGGAACCGTAGTTTGGGGTATATCTTCCAAAGATAAAGAAGAGAAGAAAAAAAAAACCCAGGACCCTCAGGCACAGTTTGATGGATGCGTGATTTCGAGTCTTCTGTATTTGACCTATCCGTGTTGTACTGTATATATATGACTTTTACCGTCATGAAACTCATCCACTTTTTTTGTAACAGCAAACTTTATTTGTCTGTCTCCTTGAGTCATATAAGAAAGTTTTAAGGGATGTTTGGTTTGATGACACTTAGTAGGCCTACATTTTGAAAATAGGAGTAGAAAGGGTGAAGGGGGGGGGGGGTGCAGGATCACCCCCCCCCCCCCCCCCCCCCCAAAAAAAAAGAGAACAGAAGGGGGAAAAATGTGAGAATGAGATGGATCCATCTCTACCTTTGAAAAGTCATTAGTGACAGTATTGTGGTGTCGGCTTAAAATAAGTTTCAGGGACTAGACTGACGTCTTATTATAATGCTCCTTTTGTTGTATGTTAAGGTCGTTTTTGACCTATCCGTTGAACAGAAGAAGAAGTGGTTCTGAGTCAGTCTTTTAGAAAAGGTGATAAATAATCGGAAAGTATATTTTATTGAGAAAGAAAATGGATCTCTCTGAGACTGGTAAAGAAAAAATGAAAAATGTTTGGACATATGGTGTCAATGACTAGTCTTCAGTTTTTTTGTTTGTTTTATGTACCTAGAAATGGTGTCCTCCTTATATTATATTAATAATTTAATGGAAATTTCAAGTGTTTGGGGTTTTCTTTTTTACCATTCAGACCACAGCAAGGGTTACTGGTGATGTGTGAAGGTTTTTGTTTTGTTTAAGTGAACCAGGATCAATATTTAGTCCAGTTGGTCTGATCGAGGCTTGTGGGGTTGTAGTGGACCTCGCCTCTTATCGTTTACTTAAAGTCCAGGTTTAGTTTCTTAACAAATGTTATGTTTCACTTCATGCTTCATGTGAATACACTGGAGTCCTGGTACATCAAACTGTGGAGATTGAGTCTTTCACTTTGATATCCCATAAATTTCAAATTCTTGATTATAGTCAATTGAAAAGTGCCATATGTTTTGACTATTTAAAGTTTAAACAGAAGTCAGCAGAAAATAATGAGTAGCCTAAAATAAGTCCTAAGTTTGCATCTTGTTCTATAGAGAAGGCGGATACGGGAATTTTAACAATTTTAGCTTCAATGAGATAAAGGGCTGTCCCTTTACTGGAATTTGAATACTTCATGCTTCCCCCCCTCCCAACACGCACGCACACGCACACGCGCACATACACACACAGGGGAGGAGTAGATCTTGCGAGAACTTCCGGGCAAAACAAAATGGCGACCCCCGTAGTTCGGCTCGATTCGAAAAATGAAATAGCCATAGCATCTTTGTAGTCGATCAAATTAGCTTATTCTTGTGCTATAAACGTAATCTTTTCTTTGCCTTTATCCATTTGATCATCCACATCGATAGAAAGTATTCCGAAAATAGGAAAAACAGGTCTTGTTTTACACCGGGTGAGAAAAGCCTACGGTGACAAGTCTCACCCGGGGTGAGAGGTCGATCGTATTTCTATTCTCACCCCGGGTGAGAATAGCCACTTCCTATTGAAAACTGTCAGGCTTCTCTTCCCTTGTATTAATTTTTTTTAATGTTTTTTTTTTTTTTGTTGGAAGGGGGGGGGTTTGTGTCCAAACAAATTAATCAGCTGTAACGTTTGTATGTATTTTCTCAGTTGATTCCAATACCACTCGCCTGACTCATGCTGATCTGCATGTTATTCGGTTCTTTAAAAAACTGGTAAGGAAATTAGATTACAAACTTCTAATAACTGTTCTGTTGAATTGGATTTATTTGAAAGGAGTGTTTTTGTTTCGATGCTGGAATGATTTTGTCTGTAGTCTTGTTTTCTTTGTTTTCCATCATCCACTGTCCTGTGCTCAGCCGGAGCTGTCTCAAGCAGTCAAGAGATGTTGCACAAACATTTTAGACAAGGGCGGCATCATCCGAGGGATGGAGAACCTGGGCGAGAAGCCACTCCCCTACAGGATGAGGGCGCACGGCTCCAGATTCTATGAGGGGAAGTGAGTATCATCATATGAGTAAATTCTTCAGCTCTACTTCATACAGTATGCACGGATGGCTTGAATTCGTCTGGACCGGCCTCGGTAGTTCGAGGGAACCGTAGTTTGGGGTATATCTTCCAAAGATAAAGAAGAGAAGAAAAAAAAAACCCAGGACCCTCAGGCACAGTTTGATGGATGCGTGATTTCGAGTCTTCTGTATTTGACCTATCCGTGTTGTACTGTATATATATGACTTTTACCGTCATGAAACTCATCCACTTTTTTTGTAACAGCAAACTTTATTTGTCTGTCTCCTTGAGTCATATAAGAAAGTTTTAAGGGATGTTTGGTTTGATGACACTTAGTAGGCCTACATTTTGAAAATAGGAGTAGAAAGGGTGAAGGGGGGGGGGGGTGCAGGATCACCCCCCCCCCCCCCCCCCCCCCAAAAAAAAAGAGAACAGAAGGGGGAAAAATGTGAGAATGAGATGGATCCATCTCTACCTTTGAAAAGTCATTAGTGACAGTATTGTGGTGTCGGCTTAAAATAAGTTTCAGGGACTAGACTGACGTCTTATTATAATGCTCCTTTTGTTGTATGTTAAGGTCGTTTTTGACCTATCCGTTGAACAGAAGAAGAAGTGGTTCTGAGTCAGTCTTTTAGAAAAGGTGATAAATAATCGGAAAGTATATTTTATTGAGAAAGAAAATGGATCTCTCTGAGACTGGTAAAGAAAAAATGAAAAATGTTTGGACATATGGTGTCAATGACTAGTCTTCAGTTTTTTTGTTTGTTTTATGTACCTAGAAATGGTGTCCTCCTTATATTATATTAATAATTTAATGGAAATTTCAAGTGTTTGGGGTTTTCTTTTTTACCATTCAGACCACAGCAAGGGTTACTGGTGATGTGTGAAGGTTTTTGTTTTGTTTAAGTGAACCAGGATCAATATTTAGTCCAGTTGGTCTGATCGAGGCTTGTGGGGTTGTAGTGGACCTCGCCTCTTATCGTTTACTTAAAGTCCAGGTTTAGTTTCTTAACAAATGTTATGTTTCACTTCATGCTTCATGTGAATACACTGGAGTCCTGGTACATCAAACTGTGGAGATTGAGTCTTTCACTTTGATATCCCATAAATTTCAAATTCTTGATTATAGTCAATTGAAAAGTGCCATATGTTTTGACTATTTAAAGTTTAAACAGAAGTCAGCAGAAAATAATGAGTAGCCTAAAATAAGTCCTAAGTTTGCATCTTGTTCTATAGAGAAGGCGGATACGGGAATTTTAACAATTTTAGCTTCAATGAGATAAAGGGCTGTCCCTTTACTGGAATTTGAATACTTCATGCTTCCCCGCCACCCAACACGCACGCACACGCACACGCGCACACACACACACACACACACACACACACACACACACACACACACACACACATTAGTAGTTAAGGGGACATAACCAATGTTACTCTTGAAACAAAAATACTATTTGATTGGGTGGCTTTTCCCTTGGTCATTACTTGGCCATAACAGACCTTATTACGTTTGCACATTTAAAAACATTTGAAATCGTAGAGGTGTAATGCCCCTTGCAACACTTTAAGTTTACTTAAGAGTCAGGACTTCCAAATTTAAAGTAAGTCCACTTCGGTAGGACTGAGCCAAATAGGAAAATCCGTGTAAAGTGCCTTATCCAAGGATACAACATCAGGCCAGCCTGAGCCTCGACCCCTCATCCCATAACCTCATGATTATGAGTCTATTCAGGGATGTAAGTCTTCCGGCTTTTTCCGTTTTTCCCGGCCGACATGCCATTTGGGCCCCTGCTTATAACAAAAGTCTACTATAAACAATACATATTATATATATATATATATATATATATACACATATACTAAATAGAGATTATTTGTTGTAATAGAGGGAAAGAAACAAATACAATTTAGTCTCTCTGTATTTTTTTTTCAGTCAGTGCGCGCACGCCGTATATTTTCCGGCTTTTTTTTCAAAACCTGTTTACATCCCTGTCTATTAGCTTAACCCACTAGACTACCTACGCCATCCATGTATGTTGAAGTTGAAGTCATATTTACTTAATTTACTACCAACTCTCGGACAAGCGGTTGGAGGGCACCACTGGTACTGGTACATGTAATTCCTATTTCTTTTCTTTCCCTCTCTCTTTCTCGATTTTTACTCAGCAGCAAATGACCAATATTGTGTCAATGTTTTTCTCTGCACTCAAAAAAATACATACACAAATAGTTTCCACTGTTTTTTCAAAAATCTGTAGACATGATTTTAATTTTCTCTTGGTGTTTTTTTTTCTTTTATCTTTTCTTCAGTTACATTCTGATCCAGTTTGACGGGGCAACGTCCCTCCCAACTCAGCTGCACGAGGAGCTGCGGAGAGACACGGACGTAATACGAAGGAACGTTTATACTGACGACGAGTTTGTCCGGCCCTGTTTAGAGGGGCCTTGTGAGTTTGGAGAACTGCAGAATCCTGACCACGAGAAGAGAGTCTGGTGGTCTCGGGTCACCAAGCGATACACCAGATGGGAGAGGAAGAAGAAAGAGCGGAGTGCGTAGAGTGATGGGGTTGGGGGTTTTTTTTGTGTGTGTAAATGGGGGGTGGGGAGGAGGGAGAGGAAAGGTAGAAATACAGAGACTGACAACAAAATGGGACACAAATGAATGCAGGGGGGGAGTGGAAGAATAGGGAAATACGGAGAGAGAACATAAGTGGTGTGAATGAATGAGGGGGATGGGGACTGCCAGTAGCTGATCATTTGTTGTTCTTTTTTGTATTTATAGGTCTTCTGTAGATTTTTCTGCATGGCTTGCAATTCTTTGTATCAGTAAGAGAAAATATGTTAGAATGCTGTTGTGAATGTCTCAAATGAAATTATGGACATATTGACCTCTTTTAATGTGAAAATAAATGTTTGCCCATCTTCTTAATTTTGGATTTTTCTGTTTTTCATGGCAAGTGAAATGGTTCTAGTGCTCTGTGCTGGCTTTCAAAGGCTGCTTTCTGTTCTTTGTAATTTGTGTGGTATGTTCTATTGATCTGCTTGCTTGAAGAGTGGGAAGTAGTAATTTTTTATAAGGAACACTCAATTTCCTGGGGAAAAAATGCAGGATAAGATCCTCATTGCAGAAGGAATGAAACATACAAAATATTGAATTGTGCAAATTCATGTAGAAGTTAATTATATACAGTATATATAATACGGACGGCTCGAATTCGTCAGGACCGGCCTTGGTAGTTTGTAGGATATCTTACAAAGCTAAAGAAGGAAGAAAAAAACAGGACCGCAGGCACAGTTCGACGGATGCGTGATTTTGAGTCTTCTGTGTTTGACATATCCGTGTTATACTGTACGGTATACTATTAGCAAACAGTGTGCTGTGTAGCTATGTAACACAAATACTTGCCCTCAAAGTGGGAAAAAAAAGTTTCTTACAAACAAGGGAAAACTGAGGGTTTGGACTGGACTGTTATGCTGAAATATTCCCAACAGATTATTTTGATAAAATCAGGGATGATAATCATTTACTTTCTGACTTTGTTTACATTATAACCAAAAGTTGTAGCTTCAACTCTAGTTGTCATGTAAAATTAAGTTGCTTGAAATATGGTCTAGCGGGTTGGAAACAGAACCACAGAAAATTTCTGAACTCATTGTCAGTGTCAGTCAGAAATGTAAACTGACTGATCTGTTTCAACTGTTTGCATTGTATCGTTGCCGTCATTCATCATTGTTATAAAATTTGAGGTTGTCAGAAGCAAAAAACTTTAATTTCAGGCTGAACATTATCATAATTCAAAAGGTTTAATTCGTCTAAATCAGTTACTATTTTAGGAAGTGGAATGAGTTTAGACCCATTTGATGCTCGTTATCAAACTACATCATACTTGGTTTTTATTTTACTACCTTATATTGAATGACGGCAATGATACAAAAGCAGAAGAGGAAAGTTGTCTCCTTGCTCCTTGGATTTTTTTTACTCGCTCTTTTAATCTGTTTTCTTAGTTTCTGGGCATTCTCTTTTGCAAAACATCAATACTGTACTACACGACTGGCACAAATCAAAAGTCAGAAGCTTATTTTGTTTTGGACACATATTTTAATGTGTTGCATGTCATAGTACTCATAGTTCAAATCTTTGAATGACTCAAATGTTGAATGCCCTAAGGCTAATGTGGGGCTTGGTAATAATAAATGATAATTCACAACACAAATGTCACATCAAAGTTCCACAAATCTCGTAGTTCTTGTTTAATTTATAGCAATTTGTAAATGGATCCATTAAATGTATTGGCAGTGAGAGGTACATTAATGTGGCTGTACAACATACAAAGAGATAATAATATATGTAAATGTATGGGTGTACAATCTGTTTTTGGTTCCTGTTCATAGAGTGCACAATGGTCTTGGCTGTACTATGTTTAAGTTAAAGTGGAAAGCCAGATACTTTCCATTAGCACCAATGAACTATACGCAGTAGTAGTACCATAAAGCAGTAGTATTTGCTTTACTTCATTGTGTGATTCGGCCTCCCAACATGGGACTTATTTATTGCCAAATGTATGTAACAATGGTTCGTCTGCTTTATTCAGGCAAAGAAAATGGAATTATTTACCTATATATAATTTTATTAATAATAGGCACAGTTGTCTCACCGAGTTGACACAAGTTAGGTAGGGCAGTGGCAGAAAGCAACACAGGTGATTACATGTGCACCCAAAAAAAAAAGACTAGATCATTTTTTTGTCGTTCAAGATTTTGGCTACTCGTTTGTAAGAAAGTTACACAATGCAAAAATAAAATACAGTGAGGGAAATTTTTATGACTTTTTTATGAGCCCATGAAGTAAAGTTTGGGAAATTTCTACATTTATCAGATGACTTTTTTTTTCTCTTCCTGTGTACAGTTCCAGAAATAACATGTTTCTTAGTAAACTGTATTTGATTATTTACGGTCTTTGATTGGGGTCAGACTAGGAGATGCATCCTGTATACAACAACAAGTCATCGTATGGATGTGACAAGATCCAAAGGGCTCCTCCATTTCCTCAACTCCTGCGTCCGCCGGTTGGGGAAGAGAGTCCAAAGACTCAGCGTCTCGTCTGTCGCAGCGGCCGCAACTCTGCTGCGATCGGGGCTCATGGCGAGGTGGAGTGGTCGCCCCTTGTGGTGGCGGAGTGACGTCATCAGCTGCAGAGCCCCGGGGCGGACCGACCAGAGGCGTAGATCATTATTAGGGTAGCCGTGGCTGGACACAAGTTCACGGTACTGCTCGGACCAGACGATATCACAGATCTGGGGCGGGAGAAAGTTTGCACTTTTTGGGTTGAACTTGGATTGGGGGGGGAGGGGGGGTGGGTTGTTTTTTAATGCACAATTTTAGATCACAGTGCAGTAAAAGAAGGAACAAAAAAGAGGTAATTGTAAGTGTTTTGTGCCCCCTTCAACATACAGTATAACACAAACAGCACGAATTGGTTGGTACCCTTAGTTTCAGGGATATCTTACAAAGATAAAAAAGAAGGAAAAAAAACGTGAACGCAGGCACAGTTCAACGGATGCGTGATTTTTTTCGAGTCTTCTGTGTTCGACCTATCCGTGTTATACTTATACTGCAATTAACTTAGATCATTTAGCAGTCGGGCTCCTTTGACCCTGTCTGCCAAGGCCAACCAACCTTGGCCAAGTGGAATACAGCATCTCGGCAGTTACTGAGTTAGACGGAGATATATGTACGTACATGTACAGAATGTACCCGATTAAAGATTGCTCCACTTGGCAATCAACTGATACGTTCTGCCTACGACGACAAAGACCCAAACCTTAAAGAGTGACCTAGAAAAGAATCTTTCACAAGATTTATTTGTCAAAGGCTGTCTTTGTTTAATTGTTAAATGTAAGATGAACTGAGGCGGTTTACCAGACTGTAGTATAGGGACTTTATAAGAGTAGGAAGAGATAAAAAGAAGCTGTCTTTTATTGTGAGGCTGAGAAACAGTGGCGATTTTAGTGGCTTCTGATTACGGTCAGTGATATTCTTCTTGTCTTGTTCCAGAGACCATGGGCTCAACTTGATCAAATTCTACTAGGCCTATATTTCTTTTTTAAAAAGTTCTGAGCAAAAGAAATCATCTGTACAAAAGTTTCATAGAATGCATTGAAACGAAATGTGAAACCACAAACAAATATTGTCAGAATAGACGACAACGACCCCCCCCCCCAAAAAAACAAAACAAACAACAACAAAAAAACAAACAAAAAAAACAAACAAACAAAAAACAAACAAACAAACAACAAACCAACCAAAAACAAACAACAAAACAAACAAACAAACAAACCAAAACAAATAAATGAAGTAATATTAATAAAATTAGTAACTAAATTTTATAGATAAATAATAAATAAATAATACATAGCAATATCAATACATAGCAATGAAGATAAAATTAAAATGATCGTAATCAACAATTCTTTTTAAAATACCGGTAATAAAAAGAAAGGAGAAAGCCCATGTACCTGTGTCTCAGTGTTGATCTCCACCTCCGCCTGGCCCCGCCCCATGTGCCACAGGACCAATCGTCTGTCCCGCGCCCCGCCCCCACTGGCCAGCAGGTCACGCCTCCACGGACACCAGCTCAGCGCTATCAGCGAAGGAAAATAAACGAATTATAACATACACACTGTTGTCATCATTATACGTCATGTAGTTTGTCCGTCAATCTCTGGTGATGACCATTGCTTCTGAAGACTAGAACAAGAAGAGAATATTAAAATTTCTTAAGGAGAAATAGAAGATAAATTAAAGATATAAATATTAAGATGACTTAAATTGTGGCTTTATTTTGTTACGTTCAATGAGCAGACTCGAGCAGACAATAGTTCGCAACATTTTGAGCATTAATTTAATAAGCTTCATTTCTTCTAGTGGATATGCCTGCTTGTGGGCTTCTATCTTTTTATACATGATGTGTAAAAAGTAAAGTTGTTCTCGCATCCGATCCGGACATTGGGGATTCGTGAGACAACTTCCTGGGCCTTCGGCATAGTGTGGTAGGGTGGCCAGTTCCTTTCCACGCCGCCTTTACTTCCCCAACTCGAAGTCAAGTACCCATTACTGCTGGGTGGGCAAGCGGGGGCGAAAAAAATCCGTGTCCGAACCGAGGCTCGAACCCGGACTTTCCTCTTCGGAGACGAGCTCACTAACCGCTCCGCCACCGCACCTTCTTACATGATGTGCACGGTACTATTATTACTATAGTATACTATTCTAATTGTACATGGTTCACGCCCCCATCGACACTAGATCATTCAGGAGACAGGCTGAGATGGCTACATGTAGATCTACAACGTCCCAGCAGACAGGCAGAAATGTGAGGTATCGTGGTGAAATCAGGTGTTCGTCAAAATACATGTAATGGAATTGAAGAATCTGGCATTTTTCTGTCCGTTTGGCAATTTTTTAAATTGAAATTTTGCTTTTTGACTCAACACCTTTAAGGTCTTTTAAAAAATACATTTCTGTGTGGATTTTACTGTAAAATGTTGATTAAAAATTTTATGGCACAAAAAATGTAAATTTGCAGTTTCTAAGGACTCTCAAGCTTTGGAAGTCGCCAAATTTTGGCGGCCACTTTCTCGCTAAATTTACCTCTGAAACCAGGTGACACCCACCTCCTTCAATTACAAATATCTCCTCTTCTAATCGTGATAAATGAGAATTTTTTGTCACCGAAAATAAGACAAAAGAACAAGCTTTAGAATGATACCAACAGGGCCGTCGAGAACCAGGTCGGGCCCTAGGGTAGCAATCACCTTCGGGCCCCTCCTCCCCCCTGCCCCACCCACCCTCACCTGCAATTTAATAACCCAACAAATACAATGTACATAGGCATTATTAATCACTTTACTGTAGCCTATCTATTATTACATACCAACATACGTTCTCTCTCTCTCTCTCTCTCTCTCTC